GGGTTTAGGGTTTGGGGGTTTAGGGTTTGGGGTTTAGGGCTTGGGGTTTAGGGTTTGGGGTTTAGGGTTTGGGGTTTAGGGTTTGGGGTTTAGGTATTGGGGTTTAGGGTTTGGGGTTTAGGGTTTGGGGTTCAGGGTTTAGGGTAAGAAGGTATAGGGTTTCGGGTATACAGGATCATAAGAACCCCGGAGAAAGCGCAGATTGAGTGAGTGTGAAGGGAGCTTAGGGTTTGTCACGGCTGGCTGGGAATTACCTGGAATCCTATGATTCACGGCCTTGAGTTATAGTGACGAGAACACCGAAACGGGAAGCTCGGCAAGAAGCGGACTGCACAGAGGTTGAGTTCCAGGTGCTCACTATTTCCGCTAAACACTGCACCCTGAACCCTCTACTTTCTACTACAGACCCTAAACCCTAAACCCTATATTACCCTATATATATATATATCAACCCTCAACCCTCGACCCTCCACAACCTCGAAATCCTTGCAAGGTAGACCCTGGCAACTTCGTCCCCTCAACCTCGGACAGGCCCCCGAAAACGGGGGAATCAACAAGGCCAACGCCTCCTCATAGGTGCAGATGGTCTATAGTAGGAGGCTTGTACTTGGAGGTTCATGGTACTTTCCATCCAAGTATTAATTGCACTTATAACCCCAAATTAACCACATAATTTGAGAGGCTGGTCGATAAAATAGGACGTTTGTAAGGTTAAGGGTATGTAGGGCTTGTATGGTTAGCAGGGTGTATAGGGATCATAGAAGTTAGATTTTTGTTGGTTGCGGGTGCCGCGCATTCTTTTGTTTGCTGCGGGTGCGGTTGGCGTTCCGTTTTTGCTGCGGCTGTGGAGGCGCATTGATTTTTGCTGGGGAGGCAGGGCGCGCTTTTTTTTTGTTTCTGCGGGTGCGGGCGGGGGAGGTTTCTTTTTTTCTGCGGGTGCGTGGAGGGGAGGGAGCTGTTTTTGTTGCGGGCGAGGATGCGTGGGGCGGCGTTGACAAGTATGACCATCAAAAGCAAAACGCTGATTTTCTCTGGTGTTGGGCAGGAAACCCTGTCTTCTCCGAAATTGTGATCTGCAAACATTTTCCAGATGCTCCCTGAAACCTCTATTTTCTCTATCTGTGAGTAGGAAAACCTCAAAATGTTAATAGGAAGCCTTTTTCCCCCTGTATCCGCTTCTATTTCATGTAAACCCTAAACCCTAACCCCTAACCCTCCGTTTTCTTTACGTTTCCATGGATTTCTCGATGTGTTGATAGGACAGCCTCTGTCTAAAGGCCAAAAAATGAGGGCGACGAGATAGTTTAACCACTTTGCTTTGGCCATTTGACCCTTGCTGAATTTAGGGTTTCCTGTCAAACTTTTTCCGATCATCAAACAGAGGACACAGATTTGTTCCTCTGCAAATTTCAAGGAAATAGAGGCGTTCCTGCACGACTTTGAGGAAATAGAGGAACTAGAGGCTTTCTAGCGACAATGTGAGGACATCAAGGTTTTCCTAGTACATATAGAGGATAGAGGGGTTTCCTATCAAGACACAGCTAGAGGTTTTCGTATTAACATACATAGTCCATGTACCTAAAGAAGGAATACTTAGGCCTTGAAGTAAAGCACTGTCTAGAAAAGCACTTTGACCCCCAAGTATATAATAATCAGGTACATGGACCCTTAGATATAAAGGTAGCAGCTAGAGGTCTGCCTTCATCTGCTTTGAAGCAAGCTTGCGCAGCCTGCGCGAGTGAAAACGGGGGGTTGGCGGGGCGCGCAGCCCCCCTCTCCATTAGCAAACACTATGCTCGCATGATAATAGGTTTCGAAAGGATCCGATCCATCTGCTTTGAAGCAGGCTTGCACGGCTTAAAAGAGCGGGAGGAGGGCGGGGTTGGGGGAGGCGCAGCCCCCCCCCCCCCCTTCCATTTGCGAACTCACTGCTTGCATGAGTGGGTTTGGAACAGATTGCAAACACAATGCCAGCATGATGGGTTGGAATGTTTCAGCTGGATTCCCATGAATGACGAATGATGAGGCGAGATTCGTCGAAGCAAAGCTTTGCCAGCTAAAAAAGGCGGGATGGGGAGGGAGGGGTTGCAGTCCTACGGGGTTGGGAGGTGACACTGCTAAGCCTCAATCCTAAACCCGAAACCCTACACCCCAAACCCCAAACCCTAGCTCTAGGTCTCTCAGCCAAGCTACCACCTCAGCTACACGGGCGTCGTCGTCGCCGGAAACGCCTACGCGCCGCGCCACATCGGCCACCACGGCGTCCTGTCTCAGGAATCGAGGATGGCCCTCAAAACCCCCTGAATCTGGGACTCTTTAAGGTTTAGGGTTTAGGGTGTAGGGTTTAGAGTTAAGGGTTAGGACTCTTTTTACACACAGTTTAGACGTAACTACCCCTTGATTTACCCATAAAACTGCAAGTAGATAGGGTCCTAGGGATTTCCCTAAGTATGATCCTCTTAAGCCCAATATAGGGGAAGATTGAAGATATCCCAAAGGCCTACCTAGGAATTTGACATTGGGATATTCGGGTCGGCGGGTTGAGCTTGCTGACGCGGCCATCATAGAAGACATGCAGGGTCTGCAGCGGAGGCCTTTCCGCCCGTCATTAAACCCTAAACCCTAAACCCTAAACCCTAAACCCTAAACCGAAGACCATAAACACCGTTGGGCTCGAGGTGCACCTCAAAGCTAACCTTGATCGAACTCAGCCTCTGCCCCAAACCCTAAACCCTAAACCCTAAACCCTAAACCCTAAACCCTAAATCTCTTAGCATTTCGCGGACACTGACAGGTCTGCCCTGTGCACAAAAATAGGCTGGTGCACTACCTGGAGGCTCTCATGTAGTTCCTTTTGGGGTTACTTAGAAGGGATTCACTAAATGCCTTCGGGCAAGTCCCTGTATAGTCAGTCTCGTTGAGCATGGCCACTTTCTCCAGTGTACACTACAAGGCCTTTTTGGGCCGACGTAGAACAAGGACTCAACAAGAGGACCATACTAAGGAGAGCTAGTCATTTGGCCACTTCTCTAAATATTGGTCCCTTTGTGGGGTGGCTTTCTATTATAAGGCGGCCCTGAAATTCTCGGGTACCCAAACAAAAAGGGATCATCATTTTGAGAGCTGACTACTGAGACCACAAGCACGAAGGCTGTTGCTGCAACCTTCGATGCCTTGAATCCCGGACTACCAGTTTCCCGCAGCGCAAACCTAGCTCGGAGTGAGGGTGCAGAGGCTACAGGCTGACAACAAGGTATACCGCTGAAGCAGTGAAGAACCCCTAAACCCTATAAACCCTAAACCCCAAACCCCAAACCCTAAACCCTAAACCCTCTGCAGGGGCTCTGCCTAGCAGGACAGGGAGTGCCTCGCCGTGCGCGGCAAGGCAGGTCACCAGGAGGCAAAGCGACCGCCGCCTTAGTTCAGCTTAAAGGGTTTCGGGTGTAGCGTTTAGGGCTTCTAAGGCGTTTTATAGGGTTGATAGGGTTGCTGAACGAGGGCTGCGCTACACCCTCAAAACCCACACCCCGAAGCCTCCCTAAACCCTAAACCCTATACCCTTTAAACAAAATAAAGAGGCCCACCCCCAAAAGAAAGACAAAGAAGAGGGGACGCCGAGCAGCAGCTCGTCGTCGAGCTGCACCGTGCTTCCCCAATCCTTCGGCTTCCCTACTTGGAGGCTCATGGGTGCTTATAACCCAATTGTAGGGTTAGGGTTTAGGGTTTAGGGTTCAGGGTTTAGGGTTCAGGGGGTTCACGGGTGCTTAGGGATCAATCTAAGTCTACTTACGACCTACTTGGGGTTTTTCGGGGGCTTGCAAGGGGGTGTTACAAGTACCCATGGCGCAGGCCGAGCCCGGGGGCCACACAAATCATTCATTAATGCCCCCACACCCCGAAGCATAAGCATGACCAGGGCCGTGTTCTGCTTACAAGTGGACTTCTAGATCTACAAACGAAGGGAAATAAAAGGATGCCACCAGGTACTGCTGCAAAGTCTCTAGGACCCACAGCGTCTCCTTGGTAGCCCAGCAACTATATTTTTGTACAAGGCACCCTTTTTGGGGTTGGTTACCTTTATAAGGGAACCTTGAACCAAAAAAAGTGAACAAAAGGGTGCCGCTGGGCTACCATGTCTCAGACTCGCGCTCCCACCGGAAGTTGCCAAAATGCGGATCGACGTGGGCAAGATGAGAGGCGCTTTTGCACAGCAAGAGCCATCCAAGGTAGGGCACAGCAAAGCCCAAGAAGACCATGCCAACTTCCTTTTCTGGGCATGGGTTGGGGTGTTCCCCCTTATACTAACAGTCCAACCCCTAGACTGCAAACACTGACCCAACCCCGAGACCCAGAAGTCAATAGTCTGATGCCTAGACCCAAAATACAATGCCTAACCCTGAACCCTAAACCTGAAGCCCTAAAAACCAAAAAGCCTAGACCCAGCCCTAAACGCAGAACACAACATCTTCTCGGGTTTAGGATTCGCCTGCCTAAACCAAAGCACCCTAAACCCTAAACCCTAAACCCTAAACCCTAAACCCTGAACCCTGAACCCTAAACCCTAAACCCTAAACCCTAAACCCTAAACCGAGCCTGATGTGCTGCGGCATCACCTTGGGCCAGCTCTTGCAGTGAGCGCCCTTGCGTGCAGGAGTGCTTTGGTGGGTTATAGGGTTAGGGTTTAGGGTTTAGGGTCTAGGGTTTAGGGTTTAGGGTTTAGGGTTTAGGGTTTAGGGTTTAGGGTTTAGGGTTTAGAGTTTAGGGTTTAGGGTTTAGGGTTTAGGGTTGAATTAGGGTGCAGGGATTGAGGTTTGAGGGTTGCTTGGTAGCCCAGTGACCAGATTGCAATAAGGGCACCCCTTTTTTTGGGGGGGTTGGTTACTTTAGAAGGGAACCTTGAACGGGCAAAATGGTATCTGGGCAGCCAAGGTTGAGGGTTCAGTGGTCTCAGGGACCCTAAACCCTAAACCCTAAACCCCCTAAACCCTAAACCCTAAACCCTAAACCCTAAACCTCCGGGGGTTACGCTGGCCTCCGGCCAGCGTCATGATCAACGCAGAGGGGGCCACGCGATCTGCCACCGGTGCGGGAACGCCAATCCGCCACGTCCGGGACTGCGCTTGGGCTACCTGACGGCAGAACCGGAAACCCCAAAGCCCCGAAGCACCTAAAGTCCCAAACCCACAAAATATAGCACAGCTTGTTTTGGTGCGTAAAAAAACCGTGCAAATATCCAATATTCAATATACAATGTATACATATATATATATGGATGCAAATAATTTATAATAAACACTGTATATATATATATATATATATATATATCTATGTCTGTAATTATAGCCCCGCCCCACTCCCTAAACCCTAAACCCTAAACCCTAAAACCTAAACCCTAAACCCTAAACCCTAAACCCTAAACCCTAAACCCTAAACCCTAAACCCTAAACCCTAAACCAACAAAACCCTGGACACTCAGCCCTGCAGTGGCTTGAGTCCTATCAACGCCTTGGTTTTTTCAGTACGGGTACCCCAAACCCTAAACCCTAAACCCTAAACCCTAAACCCTAAACCCCAAACCCTAAACCCCAAACCCTAAACCCTAAACCCCAAATGCGGAAAACATGAATATGCATTCGGTGAGCAGGTGAGCAGAATCTCTCTTCCCAAAGGCCGCTCCAGCAAAGGGAGGCGGTGAATGCAGAGCCCAGTGGTCGGAATTTAGGGGCGTGTACAGCTTCTCGGATCAGATCATCTTGAGTGCATAGGGTTTCGGCTCGTCAGGAACCTCACAAAACCCAATAAACCCTCAGCGTACTTCTTTGGCAAGATAATCGTGAGTGCGTAGGATTTCGGCGGGTCAGAACCCTCACTGAAGGGTCCGCAAAGAGCACCCAAGCTGCTCTGTCTTCAAAAGCAGTTCCTGCCAACTTTATCTGCATCCTGAACAGATCGGAATCTTTACTCAAAGGTACGCGACTCCCCGAGAAGCGCACTCTTTGATAGGCTCCGCAACTCAACCCAAACTCCCCAAACACCCCTCGACTTCTTTTGTCCTAAATCCCACAGTTGCGAATATCCTTATAAGTAAAAGGGGGGGGGTAGGCTCCCGAAGCTTCTCGGAGGTTCCCTAACCCCTGACTGAAGCCTCAAACCCCCTAAACCCCAACACCCTGAGAATCACATAGCACAGTGTTGGGAGCCCAACGACATCAATGGCGCTTTGCGATTCCGGTGGCCTGCAGCAAGGGCAGTATGTGCGGCGGAAGAGCCGCAGCCGCATGCGAAATCACCTGGGTGTGCACCCAAGGCTCAGGTTGAAGTTTAGGGCAGTTTGCAGTGTTGGGGTTTAGGGTTTAGGGTTTAGGGTTTAGGGTTTAGGGTTTAGGGTTTAGGGTTTAGGGTTTAGGGTTTATAGGGTTTAGGGTTTAGGGTTTAGGGTTTAGGGTTTAGGGTTTAGGGTTTAGGGTTTAGGGTTTGCGGTTTAGGGGTTCAGGGCTTGTAGGGTAGCTTGGGATTCAGAGCTTGGGGTAGTTTGGGAGATGTTGTGTTGCATAGCTTCCGTACTACACGACCAGGCTTCAACATCTCCGAAGCCATAGTCTTCACCCCCCTACTTTTCTCGTCTAGAGTTCGAGAAGTTGCGCGCAGTGTCCCTTAAAAACCCTAAGCCCTCAACCGTAAATCCCAAACCCCAAACCCTACTCCATTGCACCTTGAATAAAAAAGTTCAAATGGTTTCGGGTTGAGGGCTTGGGGTTTAAGGTTTAGTGTTTGTGCACCTACAGTTCAATTCTTCACAGCCCCGAGTTGCTACAGCCCTCGAAGCTGCAAAAACTACCCATATCCAGGGCTTAAGAGCTTACTTTCTTACGAGAAGCCCTCTCTTTTTTGTAGGTTCTCGAAGATTCCCTTAAGGAGTCCTCTTACAAAAAACCTACAACACATGTAGGTTTGGGCTTCTTATGGCAGGGTTTAGGTTCTGGGTTGGCCAGCTCGCTACTAAAAGCCCAAGAACGCAGCACGTGTGTATATCTGCTACATAGTCCCAACCGCCTACCTAGAAAAAAACAATTTAAACACAACCAAGGCCTGGCCTGCAATCCACCACCACCCCCACCCCTCCCCCCCCCAAACCCGAAGCTCCGAAAGCCCTAAAGCCAGAAAACCTTAAACCCTAAAACCCTACACCCTGAAGCTCCTAAAACACCAAACCCCTCAAACCCTTGAAGCCCCTAAGCCGCCTCAGGCCCTAGACCCCTAAACCCCTTAAAACACCCAGACCCCCAAAACCCTGAAACCCTGGACCCTAAACCCCCTAAACCCCTAAACGCCTGAGCTTCCTAAACCCCCTAAGCCCTCAAAAACCCGGAAACCCCTAAACCCTAAACCCCTTATATCCCCTTATCCCCTAGAACCCCCAGACCCCCAAACCCCTCACCCTAAACCCTAAACCCTAAACACTAAACCCTAAACCCTAAACCCTAAACCCTAAACCCTAAACCCTAAACCCTAAACCCTAAACCCTAAACCCTTAAACCCTAAACCCTAAACCCTAAACCCTAAACCCTAAACCCTAAACCCTAAACCCTAAACCCTAAACCCTAAACCCTAAACCCTAAACCCTAAACCCAAGGCGCTCCAGCCATGCCAGACTTCCAGGCTTCGTAGGCCGCAGGCCACTCCGCAAGGAGCTCCTGCCGGGTTTAGGGTTTAGGGCTAGGGTTTAGGGTTTAGGGTTTAGGGTTTAGGGTTTAGGGTTTAGGGTTTAGGGTTTAGGGTTTAGGGTTTAGGTGTTTAGGGTTTAGGGTTCAGGGTTTAGGGCTTAGGGTTTCGGGTTTAGGGTTCAGGGTTTCGGGTTTAGGGTATAGGGTATAGGGTTTGGGGTTTAGAGTTTCGGGTCTAGGGTCTATAGGGTTTGGGTTTTAGGGTTTGGGGTTCAGGGTTCAGGTGCAAAACTTAGGGGTCGTAGAGGGTTCAGGGTGCCGGCCCGGACGGAGCACAAATCCTCCCTGCCCCAAAAGGGAAGCATAGGGTTTAGAGTTTAGGCAGTAGGGTTTGGAGCTCCACTAGATAAAGACATCACCGCTTCCCAAAACTCCTCAAACTCGGGTTCTGCAACGTAGATTTCGCTGAAACATATTCGAAGCTGGTACATGTATAGCCGACTCTCTAAAATGTCCTCCGGGGTATGATTCTCTTGGAGCCAACGCAGGAAAACTGTCTTCAAACAAATCCTAAGAACACGCCTACTTGCGCCGTAAACCCTGAACCCTAGACCCTTATTCCCTACCTTCGGCCCTAAACTCTAAACCCCATTTCCATAAACACCCTAAAACCTTAACCCTATAAGCCCTAGAAACCCCAAACCCTACAAACCCTAATCCCCAAGCCATCGACCCTAAACCCTAAACATTTCTGAACCCTGAACCCCCAAACCCTAAACCCTAAACCCAAAATTCCAAACCCCAAGCCCCAAGCCCTAAACCCCAAGCCCTAAACCCTAAACCCTAAACCCTAAACCCCAAACCCTAAACCCTAAGGCGCTCCTGTGCCATCCAGAGAGCACGGGCTTCGCATGAAAGGTCGAACTCCTGCAAGACGTGGCGCTCGCTCTTCCTGCAGCTCGTTAGCTCGAAAAGGGGTTTAGGATTTGGGTTTGGGGTTTAGGGCAAGGGGTTTGAGGTTTGGGGTTTAAAGGGTTTGGGGTTTCGGGTAGGGTAAGGGGGTTGAGGGTTTAGGGCTTTAGGGCTCTAGGGCTGAGGGGTCGGGTTTGGGCTGAGGGGTAGGGTTTGGGTTTTAGGGCTGGGTGACCAAACTTACCATAGGTTGGGTTGGTGGGTGTTTCGGTGTTGCGGTTCCAGGTGCTTGTTGAGGCTTGGCTGTGGGCTTCTGGAAGCTTGCCAAAACAAGAAAACAACAGTCTGCCACAAGGTCCACCGAGAATCCCCACCGCCTCGAACATTGCGCCGACGATCCTTGCTCGACACTCTGCTGCATGCACTAGGTTCACCAGTAGCCAAGGAGAAAAAAAGGGCACACCTCTTTCTTTAAGTAGGCTTTCGAGGAATCCTAAATAGGGTACTACTGGGGGGTCAATTTCAAGCACCGCTCCTTGTTCCTGTCTGCAGACAGTCTCAAAGCTCATAATCTCGGAGGAGCCTGTTTAATTAGAATAGGGTTTTGGGTGGTCATTACAGTATATCTATAAAGGAACATTGTTAGTAATTTTTCCGACTCCCTATACGAGTTCTAGACGATGTCGCAATGACGCAGCCTTCCTCGCCGGTATGATTCTGACGCGCAATTCACCGCCGAGCAGTTTCTCTTCCAAGGTATACATTGTACGAGAAAACTGGGGGAAATATAATAATGTATACTAAGACACAAAAGTGCGTCATAACCTAAAACTGATACCGAACAATCTATAACAAGCTATATAATCATCCAGAACCACACGTGAGCACCGACGTCCAAGGGTCTGGGCCTTGTCATCCCGCAAGTTCCTTGGCGACCACGCGAACCCTAAAAAATCGGGGGGTCCTATACCCTACACTACGTAGTATAATTCCTAATTAAGGTAACGCGAACCCTAAAATCGGGGGGTCCTATATCCTACACTACGAGAATTCCTAACTCAGGACATGTGAACCCTAAGATTGGGGGTCCTATATCCTACACTACGATAATTCCGAAAATTCCTAATTCAGGACATGTGAACCCTAAGATTGGGGGTCCTCTATCCTACACTACGAGAATTCCGATCATTCCTAGTTCAGGACATGTGAACCCTAAGATTGGGGGTCCGATGCCCTCTACTACGATAGTTCGTACTAAGGCAGTATGAACCATAAGCCCTCTAAAAGACCCTAAACCCTAAACCCTCTCAGGGTTCAATTTCGTCCCAAAGTGTCAAGGCTTGGAGAATGGCGCGGGCATGGGAAAAGAGGCGGAAGTCCGTGACGAAGCGCCGGTGGACGTCTGGAAAGGTGACCTTGAGGACCGCGGGGCCATAAAAGCCTCGGCTGCCCTTCAAACCCTAAGGTGTAGGGTGTAGGGTGTAGAGTGTAGGGTGTAGGGTGTAGGGTGTAGGGTGTAGGGTGTAGGGTGTAGGGTTTAGGGTTTAGGGTTTAGGGTTTAGGGTTTAGGGTTTAGGGTGACCATGTACCTAACTAGGGAATACTTGGGGCCTGAAAGTACTTCCTCTATAAGGACTTTAGGGCCCAAGTATGTAGTAATAAGGTGCATGGACCCATAGAATTAAAAGCAAGCCAGGTTTTGTGCTCCCTGTTAATGAAGCCTTCTCATAAACCAGCTTCCTGCCTATGGTCAGAGGAGTTTAGGGTGTAGGGTTTAGGTTTTCTACAAGAGTCCCCCTCCCCAAAAACCAAGAAGCTCATCTCGTTCACTTGCGCGACCGTGCCCGCGTTCAGAGCCCGACCCAGATTTGAAGAGGCATCGTGCCAGCCGGCCTGCTCCAGGATCGTGATCACGTCAGCATGAGGCCTCTTCGGCATATCTTCCAGACACCGGCTCAACCCAGCGAGAACCTCAGGGTCATCAATCAGATCTGCGCGCACAGACAGAACCTGGGCAAACTTGGGGAAGTAGCCCCCGGCTTTCCGGATCCAGGTCGGGAAAAAATCCGGCGGCAAGCGCTCGCCCCGGGACGTCAGCGCCCGGAGGAGCACCGGAAAGTCATGCTTGGAGATGAGCTCCCCGAGGCGGGCGGCCTGCTGTGGATCGGTGACGATACGGGTGAGCACCCCCAGCGATGCCAAAGACGTGTCAAGCACCCGCGACACATCCTGGAGCGCGGCTGCATTTCCCATGGGCGACACCCAGAGACCCTCTAGGTGTGGCCACCCTTGGGTTGCAAGTATCTGAAGACCATGGACCAAAAATGACCTAAACACTGAAGAAACCCTAAACCCCAAACTCCATAAAGCCCCATGTACACCGTGAATACTCACCCTGAATCATCCTGAGGTCCAACAAATCATCCAGGTCCACTGAACCGGGGTTTCAGGGCTGTAGGGTTTTAGGGTGTTGGGCTGCTAGGGTTTTAGGGTTTAAACAGTGAAGGCATTGACAGGGTTACGCTCTGCGTCTCCTGCGGGCAGGTTGCCTAGACCCTGTCTCAAGACTGAACCTCTGGAGGTGGCACATGCAATACAAGATTGTTTAACTTTAAGGTACGTTAAGCATGGTTACATTATGGTATATCGGCAGACAGCAGATACCCCTACTTCTAAACAGACTTACACATACCTGTAAGTACCGTGCAACACCCGAAGTCCAGGGGGTTGGGAACTAGGGTTCAGTTTAGGGTTTAGGGTTCAGGGTTTAGGGTTTAAGGTTTAGGGTTTAAGGTTTGGGGTTTAGGTGTCCAGCTCAGACGAAAGTGTTTGGGCCGACCTGGCTGCGATGGGCCCGCATGACGGTCGACAGAAGCTAACGCAACTTATAGGAAAAACCCTGCCTTAGAGGGTCGAGGGGCAGGGTTTAGGGCTTAGGGTTTGGGGATTAATTAGGGTTTGGGGGGTAGGGTTTAGGTTTCAAGGGGGCAGGGTTGGGGTGAGGTTTAGGGTTTAAGGTTTAGGGTTTTGGGTTTGAGGGTTTAGGGTTCAGGGTTTCAAGGGTTTAGGGCTTAGGGGTTAGGGTTCAGATCAGCACTCAACCATGCACCACTATCACGTGACCATTGTGTGGAGCTTATTTCAAGATTGAGGACGGCTCTGTCGCCAAAGGAGCCCCGAGACAGTTCCTCCCACCACCACAAGTTCCCAGCCCCTTCAAACTTCAGAAGCCATCGGAGTTCGCGCGCCTGTTTGCATAGTTAGTTCCATAACCCTAAGCCCTATACCCTAAACCCTAAAGCTATAGGCCCTGCAATCTGTGGTAAACAACTCCACTTTGCTTGGCTGCACTCAGGAGGGTAGCTACACATTAAACTCTTAGCTGCCTTAATAAGAAACCCAATAAACCCAAAAAAGGTAAGGATCTATGCCTTAATAAGAAACCCAATAAACCCAAAAAAGGTAAGGATCAAAAGTTACACCCCTCGGCCAATTACCCTAAACCCTAAACCCTGGAACCCTAAACCCTAAACCCTAAAGTTACAGTAAAGTACCACAAAGTTCGGGCTATGAGCACTCCGAGATGTTGCTAGTGGTTGGAATTGGAAGTCGCGGACCGCACTTCAGAAGTAGGGAGGTCCGTAGGGTTAGGGTTTGTAGGGTTTAGGGTTTAGGGTTTAGGGTTTAGGGTTTAGGGTTTAGGGTTTAGGTTTAGGGTTGGGGGTTTAGGGTTTAGGGTTTACGGTTTAGGGTTTAGGGTTTAGGGTTTAGGGTCTGGGGTTTAGGGCTTTGGTTTTAGGCTTGAATATGGGCGTTTCCCAAAATCGAGGTACCTGATTTTCTTTTGGGAAGGTTGTCCTATGATGTCATGGTATTTGTTAGGGGCTTCCCGAACACGGCTACCTTTAAGCTCGACGAACACTCTCAACTCTCAACGGCCTGAATTCGGAGTGCTTCTCTTCCTTACCCCCCCCCCCCAACCCTAGCCCTGCACCCTATACCCAAAAACCCGAAACCCTAAACCCCAACCCCCCGCCCACACCCCTCGCCCCCGGGTACCTGCCTGCGCCCGGCTTTTAGCGGAGTTTAAGTGCTGCATAGACACGTCGCCTTCCTGAGCGGCAAAGTGCTTTGACTGGCTGGCTCTTGGTAGGGAATGAGGGAAGAGGGCCCGATGTAATCCCTTAAAGGGTATATACAGGGCCCTCATTCCCTCATTCCCTCATTCCATACTAAGAAGCAGGGGGTTCAAGCTTTGGTGGGGTCGGGTACAGGGGTCTAAGTTTCAGATCTGCACACCATCATCAGGGGTGTAGGGTTTAGGGATTGGGGTTTGGGGTTTAGGGTTTAGGGTTTAGGGTTTAGGGCACAAACCCACAGTTCGCAGCCCTTTGTAGCCAGCAGCCCAATTCAACCCAGACCTTGTTTGGGAGTCAGAGGGCCTCGGGTTTAGGGGTTTAGGGGTTAGGGCCAGTTTAGGGTTTAGGGTTTGAGGGTTTTAGGGTTTTGGGGGTTTGAAGGTTTGAGGGTTTAGGGTTTTCGGGTTTAGACTCAAGGGAAACCCTAAACCCTAAACCCACACTGAGGTCAGGACGGCATGCTTTCGCTCGAGCTCACGCCTGTGTACTCCCCGTTAGGGTTTAGGGTTTGGGTTGGACTTTAGGGTTTGGGGTTTAGGGTTTAGGGCTTAGGGTTAGGGTATAGGGTGTAGGGTGTAGGGTTTAGGGTTCGTGTTTAGGGCTTCGCTTGAGGTGCGGCAGTGCTATTTCAACAAGCATCTCATAAACAGTAGAGGGATTTTATGGTCTTGGTAGCCCAGTAAGTGTATGTTGTCTAATCAGGGTTTAGGGTTTAGGGTTTAGGGTTTAGGGTTTAGGGTTTAGGGTTTAGGGTGGAGGCCTTTGGGTTCCGGGTGGAGGGTTTAAGGTTTAGGGTAACGATATTTTCATAAGGGTACCCTGTTGGGTTGGTTGAACCAAAAAAAGTGAAAGGGGTACCACACCCAAAACTATCCCTAAACCCTAAACCCTATACCCTAAACCCTAAATTAGGCCTCTTGTAAGACTCTTCTGAGGGCACCTGCAACGGTCCTAGATCTGGGGTTAGTCAGGGTTGCATCTAGGGAACCCAAATACACTTCGATGTGGAAGGTTCTGAAGACAGGGCGGGGGATACCCTAAACCCCAAACCCCAAACCCTAAACCCTAAACCCTAAACCCTAAACCCTAAACCCTAAACCCTAAACCCTAAACCCTGAACCCTAAACCCTAAACCCTAAACCCTAAACCCTAAACCCTAAACCCTAAACCCTACAAACCCTAAACTATCACGCAGACCAGGTCAGACCGAGGCTTGGTGAAATCAGCTTCTGCCGCCTTTCGGGGGATTTAGGGTTTAGGGTTTAGGGTTTAGGGTTTAGGGTTTAGGGTTTAGGGTTTAGGGTTTAGGGTTTAGGGTTTAGGGTTTAGGGTTTAGGGTTTCGGGGGGTTTGACTGTGCCCTGCTGCGGGGGTTTCAAGGTTCTTGTTACCTGAAGTCTCTCATGTAGTTCCTTTTTGGGCTAGTTGTAGGGGATTCTAGTCTTTTGCCCCCAAAAAGGTACTACATAGGAGCCTTTGGGCAGAGTGAGAGTGTGTGTGTGTGTGCGTGTTTTTCGGGGGAAGCTGGGGGACAGGGCTTGTCATGGATAACAGTTTTGGGCTAGGGTTCAGATCATCGCACAAGGGGCCCCGTCGATGAGCCGCGGACAGAGTGGGCACGTGAGGCAAGGACTGCGATGGAGACAGCTGTCGATTGAACCTGTTGAGCCAAGTTTTCTATAGGGGGACAATTCATCTGAGGGTTGTTTTAGGGGGTATATAAGGGGTACCCTTTTAAGGGGACACTAGGGGACCATGTAACTACCGATAGACAGCAGAAAAGAAGGGAGGCTATCTATGTTACTTGGGATCAGGCGCGGGTTACATGCTGGCCCTTAACGGGATGAGGTTGCGCCTCTCAAACATCGCCAGGCTTGTTCTAAGTCAGAATCACGCGGATGCTAACAAAAATGTTGAAAATGATAAGGAAAAAGACAACGATGACGACAGAACGCTGATGATTATGATGGTGATGATGATGATGATGATGAAATGTACTGTATACAGCTTGTCTTGCTGCTGCGGTCTGTGCTAAAAAGTAAAGAACTAGCAGATGCGGGGAAGTCTGAACGGACACCGCTCGGATGCCTGAGCTTCGGGAACTTAGTGAAAGGGGAGGGGGGGAAGGTTTAGGGTTTGGGTCTCGGGGATTTAGGGTTTAATTAGAGTTTGGGGCTTCTTGGTTGAGAACCTGGGAAGTAGGTTCCCGTAACCTGTATCATCTTGGCTGAAGGCCTCTGCATCAAAAACCAAGCCAAAAAAACAGAGACGGCTAACGACGCTAAACTCCAAAATGCCCATGTGTTCCAAAACCTCAACTCCTGCATAGGGTGTATAGCGTTTACGTCCGTATGATGAAGCTGAACAGCCCTTGCCCCTAACCCCTTAAACCCTAAACCCAAAACCCTGAACCCTGAACCCTAAACCCTAACCCCCAGGAGGTGCCACATCGAGGTCAACTGGGGGCCCCCGCTCAGCGTCTTTCGCAGAACTGCGCCGAACTTCCTGCATACTGGTTCTGCGCTGCCCGCAAGGGTCGACTTAGAGCAACCGCCCTGTTGACCCCAGAACCCCGACATGTACTTTCAGAGGCTACAAAGCACAGGGTTGAGGTTCATAAGGAACACCCTGATTTTGCGCCTGCGCGCCGTGTTCGAAACACGGCAAGCTGGCTGCGTGGGTTGTATCGTGTCGAGATGGGTTAAGGGTGATGCCAAAACAGCGCCCTAAACCCTAAACCCTAAACCCTAAACCCTAAACCCTAAACCCTAAACCCTAAACCCTAAACCCTAAACCCTCAAGCCCAAAGGCAAAGAGCAACCTAACCCAAACTCGGCTCAAACCGAGCGGCAGATTTGCAACTGGCTCTGGGAAGCTAAGGGTAGCCGCAATACGGGCCCTTAGAAGGGGACCCCGTACATACCCTATACAAAGTAAGGGTTTAGGGTTTAGGGTTTAGGGTTTAATTAGGGTTTAGGGTTTAGGGTTTAGGGTTTAGGGTTTAGGGTTAAGGGAGGTAAGGGACCATATTAAGGGCCCATAGAACTACCCCTAGAAAACCGCAACTAGCGAGACCTAAGCCTTGGACCTATGCATCTCAAGTAAACTCGCGTCA